CTGCATGGCCAGTTCCATGGAGTTCTGTAAAGACGGCTCGCCTTGACACGCTCTGTCTGATAATCCTTGAAGAGCTGTGATGTGGCGTCTAGGGTTGCCTGAAGATTGAGTGAGTGAGTGAGTGAGTATGGTTTGAGCAATATTCCAGAAATATCACGAAAGAGGACACCACTAGGGTTGCCTGGAGACCGTCATACATAGACCTATGTTCAAGGTTCATACTATTCTCTTTATCCTCAACAACTATTTGTGTGATAATCTCAAGTTTGGAATTTAAGGTGAGGGGAAGTGAATTGGGTTTAACGTCTTCTTCAAGATTATTGCACTTATTTAGCTATGTGTGTGTGTGTGTGTGTGTGTGTGTGTGTGTGTGTGTGTGTGTGTGTGTGTTTTCACACAGTGTACTGACACTAACTGACCAGTCCTTGTTTTAGCCCCATAATGGAAAGCCTCAGGCAGGGTAACAACAAGTACCATGGGATCGAACCCTCGGCCTTCCGCAGACCAGACCTTCTACCACCAGACCACGGAGGCGATCTTTGAAATAAAAGGAATCCCAAGCTCCTGAAGGATTCCAACCATAGTAACCTATCTAAATATTTGATTTTCAACACTAGGATGATGAAAAGGACCCTTTCATTTTCAAAACCGACCCTGGGAGCATTTCAAAAGTTCAATGTCAGATAAAACATCTTTATTCCACATCATCATCATCATCATCATCATCATCATCGTCAAATAGGCAAGGATTTCATGTGGACAAACCATTAGATCATAATCAGTTTGCATCTGAATTTCAAACCTACAATAATCTGATACTGGGTAAACTAAAGTCACATTCACAGTCTTAAGCCATTATCAAGATCACAACCAGGGCGAATCTGGTATTCAAAACCCAATATCAGCACTGCCTGGCAGTACTAAGGGAGACAACTCTGCATTGCAAACTACCAGTGTGATAATCATATATATCAGCAATATAGGTCATGCTAACTATTCAGTCTTATATAAATGTACCTCCAAGTTCTGTGAGTTTTTCTGCACGCTTGTTCCGTGTGGTGAGAATGCCCAGCTGGCTGATGGGGTTCTGATCAAAGTACTCTTCAATGAATTTCTCACAAAGCTGCAACAATGATAATATCCAAGACTTGACTGATAACAGTGAGTGAGTGAATCAAGCTAACACAGAACATTGTAGACATTCATACCTTATGGCGACAACTCCATGAAAGTTCAGAGTTATTTGAATAGGAAGTCCAGTCTTTGAAATTTATGATATTTCTTGGAGCCTTGAAGATTTCTGTTACAGTATCTTAAATTAAGGTCTAGGGCTGTGACGAGTCCAAATTAACTACCCGGGTACTCAACACACTATTACCCGTCCCTACCCGGATACCCGCTATAGGTCTCAAGAGTTGGGTACAAAATGTCCGAATGGGAATTGTTTTACCACAGCAGCCCTGGCAAAAACTATTTAGATACATGTATAAAACAATCTGATCATGCATACACTGCAGTTGATAGACACTTTATCCTTACTCGAACACATAAAAGTCAGAACAAATGCTTGCATAGTGAGAAAGAGATGTGAACATTAGCTATACTTGTAGTGTAACCATTGAGTTTCATTGTTAATGTCATTACAGCATATCACATGACTAACCACGGATCCGGGTAGTCATATGGGTACACGGGTCCTACTCAGGACCCACCCGACCCGAGTACCCGAGTACCCGAGTTACCCGTCCCAGCCCTACTGAGGACCAAATACATCTTTAATTTTCAACAGGAAAGTGACCCCTTGAAGTTTTCGCTCAAACACTGAAAAAGCTGTTTTCATCACAAATAGAAAAAGTAAAGCATGCCTTTACCTTTATGGTTGAGAAGAGTCTTGTTGGTTTCAGATCTTGATCATTCATTGAGTTTGACATGTCAATTATCAAATAAAGATGTCGCATCTGAAGAAAACACAATTTTAAAAACATGGGCACAATGTTAATACATAGAGAATCTCACCCAAGTGTCTTTTGATATCAAATGTATGTTCACCATATCAGCATGTTTACTTCCCTTGGGTTTTTCTCTCATACATAGCCTTATTATTGTTATATGGCAATGTAGTTTTTTGTTAACAATGATTGCAACTGTATTACATTGTTTCTGTTGAGATTCAGTAGAAGTTCATTCATTGTATTTGGACAATGATTAGTTGTCAGGGATGTAGTACAATTTAATGTAAGCAGTGGTGAGGAAGTTATTATATTTAGATGCTCGAATTATCTTTAAACTTCCAGAATAGCATGGATGGATGCCAAGCATTGTGGAAACGTGGAATAATCTGTGACGTTCTAGTGACACTGGACTGGTCTGGCACTGTGTAGAAAGTGCTGGAAGCTGGTTAGGCTATATAAGTGGAGTGGGCCCGTCCCTGTCTCATCTCACATTACATCAAGACCACCTTTGTATGAAGATCACCTATCACTCAGATGCCCAGCCTAAGACTATCTCGGAAACTTGACCACTGTTGCGGATAGGTGAATATTATTAACACTGAACTATTTGATATAAAAAATGCCATCATATTTTGTATTTGATACTGCCATTCAATATTGTACTACCACTCTATTGCATACTGCCATTGTAATTGCTGTGCAGTAGTTTGCACTGATTTGTAAACCAAGTTAAGTGAGTAATACAACTGTTGATATTATATATATGTTGGTGGTTTGTTGGTTTCACACTAAATTCATTAGGTACCGATTTCTTGGTTAAAATATTGTTTTAATTTAGGCATCGACATGTAACATGTACCAACACATGAAGCCAGAGTTTTAAACTTACATCAACGAGTGTTGATATATTTGATATAAAAAGACACAAGGGTGAAATTCTATTTACGATTCCACATCATTCTTCCCACTACTTCAGTTTCCAAAAGTAATGTCCAGTGTCTTGAGTGTAACAGGTACAGCCAGCTTCGGAGGCAGAGAGATGAGTGATGTCATTTGATTGTAACATCATGGTAACCGATGAGATGTGATGAAATTTCACTGAAGCAATATCACCTTCATCTCACCCAAGCTATATCTCCTGTGGAAGCCAGTTTTGGATGATAATTATTATTTCCCAGGGAGATTTTTGAGGAAGCAAGTTCCACAATTTCCACTAAACAAATGTTCAGACGTTAACCACTTTGGTGAAACTTATGAGAATGAGTATGGTGCTGACAAACAAAAAAAACATAATAATCAGGGTGAATCAGGATACGAACCCAGGACAAAAGGATGCAAACTGGTGCTGCCAAACCTAGAAATAATCACAGAAAACCAGGATTTGAAACCACAGCAATAGGTTTAAGGCATGTCTACAAGGACTAAGGGACACAAGGTGTGGCACCTCAGACGACTTGGCCATCTGTGGCTCCCCTTAGAATGGTGAGGTGAGGTGAAATTGGGTTTAACGTCGCATCCAAGATTATTGCACTTGTATAGCGACGTGCATGTACATGTATGTATGTGTGTGGCTGCTTGTACTAGTCTGGACTGATGCCGATTTATAGTGCTAGCTCACTGAGATACCATGCCCCAGTTGAACATGAATACCCCACTCAGACACAGTATACTGACTCCAAGCCGACCAGTCCTTGTTTAAGCCCCTTAATGCCGAGCCCCAGACAGGGTAACAACAAGTACCATCTTTTATCGTCATTTGGTATGACGCGGCTGGGGTTTGAAACCCGGACCTTCCGCTCTCCGGGCGGACGCTCTAACACTAGACCACGGAGGCGGTCCCCTTAAAAAGGAAGGTTCAAGACATAGATGCTGTGTGGAAGTTGTCATTACCATCCCCAGCCGTATGTTTCCGATCTTCTCCAGCAGCCTCCTCTTCTTGGCCTTCTGGATGATGTCATCCACGCTGGCTTGTAGTGAGCCAGCATCATCCTCGATCAGGGCCTCCCTGAAACACAGAAAAGTGTACTAATGACAATGATGATGATGATGATAACAATCAAACTAATAACAACAACAAGAACAATAAGAATAATAATACGTCCATTTAAAATGTATACGATTCCATTCACCATATGAATGCTCATGGCGCTCATTATTATCATCCCAGTCTTTGAAAAGTGTGCACTCAAATCTTGAAGCCATATTTTGAACTAAATAACTTGTCTGAGGAGACAACTTAAAAAAACGAACAGATGAAGCAAGAGGGCCAGACATATCGACATCAACATTTCCACATGAGCTTTTGGCTTAGATGACGAAGATGATCATGAGAGGTAACTATTTTATTTCAAACTATTTCAATCTGAGTTGTTTTTGGTTCATGGGCTATTGTTGTAAAATGCAGTGGAATGCGACAAAATATGAGATATTGATGGACGACAATATTTGTGGATGATAGATGAAATCAAATGAGATGCCTTTTTAACCTGCACCCTGACAATATCAACATCAACTGGCCTAAGTGTTCAGTACCAAGTTTTTTCATATTCTGTTTCCCATCTATATCCCTTTTCATCTTCGTCTGCCATGGTCGGATGTTACTCTTCGTTATACAGCACTAACCGAGGTGTGTAATTTGAGACTAAATCAAAGAAAAAGATCTCTGTAAGAAACAAGAATCACGCCGAAACAGTAGTCATCGAATAGTATAGAAAGCTCCGCGAACGGGCTATCGCTGTGAGGAGCTTTCTGCACAAGCAAGCTCCTCGCAGCAATTTCCCTAGACTGGTTTAAGTGCCCAAGAGCGTTTGCGCTTCTTGCAGCACTAATTTATGCTGCCGGAAAGATCCGAAGGACAGGCTACCATTCTACCGGCAACCCAAACGGACCATCGCTGTGAGGAGCTTGTTTTATACAAAGCTAAATATTTTCGTATTTTCAACTAGATAATGTTGATGTTTTTAGAAACTGTTCCTATTAAAATATGTCTTTTAAACTTTTAGATCATAATGTTTATCTAAATAGATACATACTTTTCTCCACATGACGTTATACGGAATGCGAAACCATACTTCCGTAGGTGCAACACAATTTGCTTCTTTCGTCAGACTGGAACGAAAATGGGAAACACTGTAGTTCCTGAAACATGTTAACCGTTCTATTACGCGGGCACTTCGGGTTAGTTTTGTTGGCGAATTCTTACTTTCACATAGACGCTCGACCAGATAATTACTATCCATGGCATGATCATACACTGTTTACATTTGAAATGAATTATATTCTCACTAAACTTTCAAGATCAAGGATTCCTGGCAATGTCATTTACAGTTATGACTTTGTGATATTCGGGATGAATACTCAGCTTCATGTCATCTGGTCAGAATGCAGTATCGTAAATCGGAATGTTCAGTTTTACAAATCGATCATGGACATGTTGCAAAGACAGGCATATAATAGCAAATTTCAGGGGCCGGGTACCGGGGACCGGTTCAATTGTATGCTACTAGCAGTGACACAGTTGGTTGTTGGTTTGTTGTTTAACGCTGCACTCAGCAATATTCCAGCTATATGACGGCAGTCCTTAAATAATCAAGTATGGACCAGACAATCCAGTGATTATCATTTCCATTGATCCACGCAATTGGGATCAATGACATGCATCAACCAAGTCAGCAAGCCTGACCACCCGATCCTGTTAATCGCCTCTTACGACAAGCATAGTCGCCTTGGATTGCTGAAGACCTATTCTACCCTGTATCTTCACGGGTCAGCAGTGACACTGAGAAACCTGGATCTTTATTTTATGGAGTCACTTTCTTCCACAGGTTACCCATAACATGCGTTGGCATTTACAGTTTAGATAAAATACATTTTCTTGCTCATATGTTGAGGTGTCATTAGTATCATGTGATATTGTCAATACAGTAGGCCCCTGCCTGCCTGGAGTCTGACGGTCAGGACATGATCTTTTATCGCTACCGAGGACACCACCTTCATAAATCCTATTGTAGGGACTTGCTTGGTCACGGTTCTCAGCTGCAGTAGGCCCTCACTCAAATGCTTTTAGCTGCAATAAAATGCCTGAGATCTACTTCAAAATAGGCACAACAGAATCTCAATGACTACCAGCGGCTACCATTGGATCAGTGGACATAAGTTAACAATAATCATGACTTTAATCCCTTTGGGAATAATATCATGATTATTGTTGACAAGTTATTGGTTATGATCATTACAGAAAAACAGTGTTGTCGGTAATCTGTAACATTTGATTCTATTCCGTTAATTTTGATTCATTTTTATCTGCAAATAGACATTTATACTGACAGAATACATCATGTATGTTGTCATAATGACAAAGCTACAGATCAGCTGCATATCTGCGTAAAATACCCCCTCCAAGTTATTCAAAACCCAATTACTTTCTATTTACTTGCATAGAGAAACGCATACATTAAATGAAAAACTCAAATGTATAAGAACAGCATGCATAAATACTCAATGAAGCTTTTTCAGCATGTGTACAACAGAGCTTATTTTTGAAACACAATTATGAGCTAATTTACTTTCTGATATTTCTATATTTGGAACTGTTATATACGGCTAAAACATTTCATTTCGTTTAAAATCTCAAAATGTTTACTCATTTTGGGAAAAACCCAATAGAGTGATGAATAGATAAGTGAAAAAAATATTTGTTACCCAATGAAAAATGTAATAACCCAATTAAAATAGAATCCTTCTAGTAAAAACTCAATTGCTCAAAAAGTTGTCTTGAGCTCTGTAATGATATTGCCACATAATGTCAGTAAAAAACATGATTCATATTCCTGAACAAAAGGAAATCTTGCCTTGCAAAAATGTTTCTGAATATCTGCAAATTAAATTTCCAGAAACTATATCACATGTGAAGTGTTGTAATACAAGATATATAAAGTGTTATTATCATGATTATATTTGCAGCCCTTAACATCTAAAGAAAATCTCTGCAAACTAATTTCAAGAGAACATATTCATGATTTTTTTTCAGCCCGTATTGTGGACGCTGTGTGAAGAAGTCAGTAGCAGTTGCTCACAAGAGAGACCTTCATGTATGGCTGAGGACACAGACATCGGCAAATACTGCAGTCTTGAGGAACATTGTCTCCAAAACACAAACCCATAGACAGATACTGGCACTACAACCTCGAAATGTGTATCAGATATGTAACTTCTCAGCCCTCAGGATTGCCAGGCCTATACTCAGGGCCCCTTCTTCGCCTTACAAAGTTATTGTCTTCTCCCAGAGGGACATGTCGGTCATTGGACGACTAGCTGGTGGCTTCGGGCGCTTCCTGAGAGTCCGATATCTGATACTGACGGGCGCGGTTGGGGGAGGAGTGGCGGTCAACAAGGTTGGTGGACACTATGGGTCAATATCAGTCTGTCAAAAGACTTTTGAGTATACTAGCTGGAATTTGTCCTTTCTGTAGCCATAGTAACAGCTTAAGTTGAATATGTAATATATCAGTTGACAAAGGAAATTGTATTCATGTCAATTATGACCCTAAAAAGGCTTCTATTTACTGCTGTCTAAATATGATATTTGGATGATTTGAAATGAATCTGAAACTTATCCATTTTATACACTTTCACAAAAAGGGACATAATCTTTATCACTTCAATCTCATTTAAATCAGATCTTAGTTTTCGCTACCGCTAACCAAAGATCTGAGGACATCCCATTACGGGTCACGTCAGAACGACCTTTCGCGATCATTGACCGACCAATGTAATGACAGGCAAGAAATTGACATTTGCCAATCGAAAGGCAGCTATCTCGAGCTTTACAGCACTAGTTTCAAACTGGCGACTACGCTTCGAAACATATTTTGACATATTCTCGATTAAAAAATTATAACTGAACAAAACAACATTCTGGAATGTTCGGAATACCCCGTGTTAAATAGTTTGAGGTTGCATTATTAGAAAACACATTCCGACTGTCACCTTCAGGATCAGGTAAGCGACGCTCTGATTGGTTGGATGAAAGGTCGTGCTGGGATGTCCTCAGATCTTTGTTTAGCGGTAGCGAGAACTAAGATCTGATTTTAATGAGATTGTTATCACTTTCATTTATTGTTTTTTAATGTTTTCTGCCTTCTGTTCTTGTGTTTTCTTGGGGCACAGAGAGCCTCATCGTCAAATGCATCGCAAATTGCTGTGCAGAGTTGTGTGCCTTACTTTTGTCAGGATCCTGTGGTTCAAAGTTTGAATCCCCGATTTGCCCAGATAATTATCCTTGGTCTGTTTGCACTTTCCTTTTGGATTTACCCAAGTGGTAGAAGTCTTTGGCTTTGGCCTTTCTCCACACCAACAGGATTCACTGTCATAACACAGAAATACTGTTCAAACAGGCATTAAATCCATCTCATTTACGCTTCTGTTTTCTTATTTCACCATTGTGTCATGAAACCTGGATGACATCGGGCTTTCCTCCCACATCAAGGTGATCCGCCGTGATATGACTGGAATACTGTTCAAAGCAGCTCTAAAACTCTCACTTCTGTTTTCTTACTTTTCTATTTGTTGTTTTTTTGTAGAAGATTGACAGTTGGAAAGAATACTTTCCTGACCTAGACTGGATGAAAGAATACATTCCTGAATCGGAGGCTCTGTCCCAGCTTGCATCCAGTATCCGAAATTTCGCCAAGCACACGATGGAGACAAATGAACAAATGGTTAATATCCTCGTTCCACTTGCCATGCTCTCCATCCGTACCATGCTCACTGATGTACATACTTTCATTCAAACTAGGCCCGTGAAGATCCGGGGTAGAATAGGTCTTTAGCAACCCATGCTTGCCGTAAAAGGCGACTATGCTTGTCGTGAGAGGCGACTAACGGGATCGGGTGGTTAGGCTCACCGACTTGGTTGATGCATGTCATCGATTCTAATTGCATGGATAGATGCTCATGTTGTCAATCACTGGATTGTCTGGTCCAGACTCGATTATTTACAGAACGCCGTCATATAACTGGAATATTGCTGAGTGCGGCGTTAAACAACAAACAAACAAACAAAATCATTCAAACTAAAACGTACAGGGCTTGATTTGGGGAGTTTGATTTACCTTGCATGTTGACATGAAAAGCTAGTTGCACCCTGGTCCCATGAATCTTTCACAGTTGAAACATTGATGCGTAAACTATTCTAAATAAGTACAATCTCAGATCTCTGATGACTGTGTCATGAATTAGATGGAACAGGGATTTGTGATATAATATGGTAAATAAAGCTAAGCGGTATTGAATGTGTTCAAAGATTTATGTTATGTGCACAAGTTAGGGTTGCATAAACCTTTGATTTTATTTTACTGGTATGCACTTGGCGCGTGTGGACATTTTTTTTATGTTGCATTTTGCAATAATTGATTGCACTGGCGCATGTCATATGTAGCTAATTTGAACCTCGAAGTAAATCATGTAACATGCAAATTTAAAAATGATAATATTTAATTCTGACAATTTGTAATATAAGTTAGGCTTAAAAACTAAAAGAATTGGTTCTCAGGCAATGACTTTTGAAAATAAAGTGCAGGCGGGTGGTGTTTTTTTTGTTTTTTTTGTGCTTGTAGTATGTAACCAAATAAACAGTTATGTACCATCAACCTTGGAAAGTGCCTCCTACATAGACAACCATACAAACTCCTATTATCACCATGACCACAACACGAGATGCGCAGTCAAGTAGTGCACATGTAAAGGGAAGTAACTGTGCTATATTGGATCACATTGTTTTTGAGTATTAGGATTTTTTAATTTTTCTATAAAATGGAAATGAAAACGAAGCATGTGGCGGACTTTATGATGATACGGCTGGTGCCTGAGAACCAAGACTATTGTTTTTTTTAGCCTTAGTTTGCATTGTTTGAAGTTTACAGTATCTAAAATCAGGGCTCCAGGGGTACGCTGGGGTGGTTGGCAGTCTAGGCTTCTTGTATGGGGTATCTTATCCATTGGGTGGTCACATTCGGGGACTTGGAAGATAGTGTGTAAGGGTACCCTGACGACAGGGATAGATGCTCATGACATCATTGCTTGTCGTAAGAGGCGACTAACAGGATCGGGTGGTCAGAATCGCTGACTTGGTTGATGCATGTCATCCATCCTAATTGCATGGATCGATGCTCATGGTGTCAATCACTGGATTGTCTGGTCCAGACTCGATTATTTACAGCCTGCCGTCATATAGCTTGAATATTTTTTATTACAGCGTTAAAAAGCAAGCAAACAAACAAAACGTCAATCACACAAGCTATTTGAAAAGTTGACAGTTTATCATTGTTGAATTCTGTTTCAGAGTTGGCTGAAAACCAAACTGTCCGACAATAAGAAGGCGGTTGTGGATTGGCTGAGTCAGCACTCTCCACCTGACCTTGGGTCAACGTTGGTGGAAGGTAAAACCGGTAAATGTCGTAATCAGCTTTAGCGTCAAGGTCCAAGGGAGATAACTCATGTCAGGATTGTTGAACTTCAGGGACTTTTTAATCCTGTAACATTTTTGGACTTGTGACATCCCAGTATCTTGTATCTACCCATGACGAGCACTGACTGCATGGCTTTCATATATATCTCACTGTCTCATTAAAGCCAAATCCTTTACTCCCAATATGATATCTCACTGCGTGAACAATTCAAGACACCTCCAGTAAGCATTGAGGCTTTCAAATTCATAGCACAAGCAAGTTAAGCATTCAGACAAGCATGTTTAATAATTGTATCTCAAAAACGAATATGGTCAGGATTGCCAAATGCAAAAAATTAAAGCCATTGTATTATAGTGTTGATATCGTAAGCATCCTGTCGTTCTTGCAGCTCAGTGGTATCTACAAGAGGGTTTTCTATCAAGGCTATATTTGTGTTCTGTGGCAGTGACTCAGTTTGAAAAAGTGACTCAGATGGGCCAAAGAACCCATTTATCCTTTAGATTGAGGCTTTCAGTTTCCTCATTGTTCAACTGATGGCTGATGGGACCTCCTATGGAGGGGATGTCAGATATCTTCATGCAGATCTTATCAGAAATATGTTATAAGTCGGAGGCGAGTGGTATGAAACCAGATGAGGAACTCATAAAACCCCATGGACCCAAAGTGATACTGCTTCAATAAATTTATTCACAGACATGTTTTAATATGACAATGTAAGAGAATTGAAAGAAGTTGATAGACCACAGCTTTTAAAAACGAGCCGAGGTTGGGCTGTGTCACGTGACTTTCATTGACTCGTGCAGCTTCTCCCTGTCAGAAATCCACATGCAGTCTTGTTCATGGCGGGGTATAAGGGATTTATTCTCCCGCTGAGAAATTTATTTCCCTCCATGGCTGGATATATAGTATTTTTTATCAAGATCATGTGGACCAATCAGATCTCATCGTTCTGACTTGGCAGGGATGATAAAGGCAATTGCCAAAACTATAACTACACCAGCAATATTTTCTTTTTCGCAGCATAGAACCTTGTAAAATTTGAAGAAAGCATTATATCATTAACATAATGAAACATGTGTCACCGAATGTTATACCAACATTTCAGTGTATCGTTTCAATATTTTGTTGTATCATGTATCCCAGAAACTGGACATTATGTTCTTCACATAATTTTCATTAGAGTTTAATGGTATCACCTGGACTTATTAGCTGAGCTTACTAGTATAAACCAAACAGAATTTTACTAGACTCTGGCTTCAGGCTTGTGGCAAAGTCGCAGATTGTTGGTGGAGATAAAATTGTGAAGTTGTCATCATGGAAGTGAAGTGCATTTCCTTTGCTTTATTAATTATAATCTCACAATTAACATGCTTTGCCTGTAACATATCCTAGATACTGTCTTAAGATCAAAACAGTCAGAGTTGATTTTAATGTGCTATAAATGAAATGTATAATCAATAATGATTCACTGAAATGATATGAGTTATCTCCCCATGCCTTTCACCTGATAACCCAGCCTCTCTTTGGTCTGTATCTTTTAGTTTGCTCCTAATCTGTTACATCTCAATTATTGCTTTGTTACCATGGTTACAGTTGTCAATTTCTTTTTATAGTTTTGGCGTTTCCATCTTTTTGTTTTCAGTGCACATTGACTGTACATCATTTTGCCTGTTATTATTCAATTGTCGGTTAAGTAAGTCTAGTTTTCAACAAACTTGTCTCAAATTTAAGAATTTTGCAGTGATACAAAAATGAAAAGAAGTGTTTCAGAAGCATGTTTCTCATCTGCCCAGAGAGTGGAAAGTCCGGGGTTTGATCCCTGGCTGTGTCAGACCAAAAGACATTAAAAAGATGGTACTTGTTGTTACCCTGCCTGGTGCTCGGCATTAGGGGCTAAAACAAGGACTTGGCGGCTCAGAGTCAGTATGCTGTGTCTGAGTGGGGTATTCATGTTAAACTGCAGCATGGTATCTCAATGGGCAAGCACTATAAAATCGGCATAAATCCAGACTCGTACAAGCAGCTACCGGTACACACACACACACACATATGTGATTGCACGTCGCTATATAAGTGCAATAACCTTGAATGTGATGTTAAACCCTGTTTCACCTCACCTATTGTTGATGCTGTTGTATTGAGTTTTTCTTTTTACAGTATTTGATTTCCCATTCTGCAGAAAATTTGTGCATGTGTTTCATGTAATACCTGTATATCAACGTTATATGTTTTGCTATGATAAAACAGTGATGTGTATCTATTGACTGCATGCTCATTTATACATATCATAATCAATAAGGTATCCACAATATTCATCTGGGGGCACAGGTGGCCCAGTCATCTAAGGCGCCGTGATTCGCTGTGCAGAGTTGCGTCCCTTGGGCACGCCAGAAACCTATGATTGTGGGTTCGAATCCCGGTTTTCGCCCCGATTATGGTTTTAGGTTTGTCAGCACCATACCCGTGCTCGTGGGTTTCACCGAAGTGGTAAACGTCTGAGACCTGCATCACTTCGGGCTTTCCTCGCACATTAAGCTGACACGCCGTGATATAACTGGAATACTGTTAAAAGCGGCGTTGAACCCAACTCACTCACTCACTCACAATATTCATCTGGTAATGTTAATTATCTGTCATATAAATTGTGATTTTTAAGGCCAGACTTGTATATTTGTTGGTTTACGGATTTCATTTGAAAAATCCTTGTCGCTAGTAGTGATAGGTTTTCGGCCGGACTTCCGTGTCGCAATTTATTGCAATAATTTTATGAACCTTATGCTTAAAAAAAATAAAAGAATTAATTCCCAGGCAATGACGTTTGACAAAATAGTGCAGGCGGGCGGTGTTTTTTTGTTTTTGTTTTGTTTTCATTTTCAAACTATCATGTAACCAAATGAACAGTTGTGTACCTTCAACCTGGGAAAGGACCTTCCTACATAAACAAGCATACAAACTCCTTTTGCTGCCATTACCATAACATGAGATGCACAGTAAAGGGAAGTAACTGCATAACTTAAGATTCTTATGGGTTTTTTTTAAATGGAATTAAAAACGAAACATGCAGCAGACTTTATGATGATGCGGCTGGCTGAGAACCAAGACTATTATTTTTGGGGGGCCTTAATACATCAGAATTCCTCAGCAAATGTTTTTTACAACTTTTTAGTCATCTGCAATTTTTTGGGATGTTGCTATGATCACAACACATGTGTAACAGAGGTATTGTGTACAGGAAGCTAGTCACAAATAGTTTCGCTTTTTCGATCCCAGGAATCAAGTTGCTAATTTCTGCATTTAAGAATTTCATTCCGACTGCTCACTTCTACTTTATAATGGGAAAAAATTGAAAAAGAGATTTGATCTTTTGTATGCGTAATTCTTTTGTGTCGTGAAAACAAAGGTTTGCATTCATCAGAATTCAAATAGATCCCTTTTGTCACCGAAATCCGTAAACCAATTTTAGAAAAAGTCTTCCCGGATGAGTTGTATTGTATTCTGACATGTTGCTACTATTTTGCCTCCATCAGGGTTAAGTCGAGAGGTGCCCTTAGTCCTTGGCCCAACTCCAGGTGTGTAGAATGCAAGAACATCTCTGTCATATATATGTGTCTGTTTGTAGTCGGTGTGTGTTGTCCTAGAAACCTGTGTTGGGCGTGTATCTTCACTTTTTCCTTTTAAAGTTTGATGTAAAGTTTGTTCAGTTTGAAGCAGTGAAAATCTTGTTCATCCAGTCATGTTCCTGGTGAGATCAGGGGGCAAGGGTGGCCCAGTCATCTAAGGCCCCGCAATTCGCTGTGCAGAGTTGCGTCCCTTGGGCATGCCAGAAACCTTTGATTTTGGGTTCGATTCCTGGTTCGTCCTGATTATGTTTCTAGGTTTGTCAGCACCATACCCGTGGGTTTCACCGAAGTGGTAGACGTCTGAGACCTACATCACTTCGGGCTTTCCTCCCACATTAAGCTGACAAGCCGCGATATAACTGTAATACTGTTAAAAGCGGCGTTAAACCCAACTCACTCACTCACCTGGTGAGATCATCCATCTCCTCGAGGCCAGAGTGTTAACTGACTGTAATAATCATCTTTCCACCCTTGCCAAACTAGGCTGGAATTTCTAGGCTCAATCCTAGTGCAACCATTAGCTCTTGTTGACCAATCAGATTCCATCTCTCACATCACTTGCATTTGCTTAAAACAAAATGGCGGTGCCCAGTCAAGACAATCTGATAGATAATCAAGATCTATATTGTGATAAATGGGTCTTACATCGACATGTGCATCAAATCACATGAACCGTGATTAAAAACATGGAAAGATTTGGAAAATATCTGTTGAGTTGGCGGTGCACATGCTTGGACTATGCAATGACTCGTTAGTCCAGCCAATATATAACTCCAAACTCTGCCTTGTTCGGCAAGGGTTGAAACTGGACTTTTAAAGTCAGTTTACTCTCTTGCCTTGGGAAGATGTAATCATCAGGATCATTACATTTTTGGATTAACGTCTCATCGCAGGGATGTTGCTGAAAACATCATGAATTCTCACTCACTCACTCTCACAGGGTTTCAGATCGGCTTATTTTCCTGGACATTGACTAATTGTCATTCAGAATATTTTTCAAGATTGGTATTGATAAAGAAGTATGTCCTATCCAAAACTGATGAAATGACCTAATGCCATTTGTATCTTGCAATTTCCCTGACTCGGTGTGCAGAGTTGCATCCCTTGGGCACGCCAGAAACCTATGATTGTGGGTTCGAATCCCAGTTCGCCCCTATTATGTTTCTAGGTTTGTCAGCACCATACCCATGCTCGTGGGTTTCCCCGAAGTGGTAAACGTCTTAGACCTGCATCACTTCGGGCTTTCCTCCCACATTAAGCTGACATGCCGTGATATAACTGGAGTACTGTTAAAAGCGGCGTTAAAACTACTCACTCACTCACCTGGTTGTGGGTTTGTTAATTTCATTCGGAAACTTGAGAGTTTTGAGAGTTGCCATTTTGACGCCATTAGACGTTTCGTGACAAAATATTTGTTGGGAACATCTGTGATACCGGTAATGAGCATAGTGAGATATGAGTTATCATGTGAAAACTACACATAACAGGGTTTTACGCGATGCAGACATGTGCATCCAGGGCACACAAATGTATCGAATGGATACAGACAAAAAAAATATTGCATCCCATGGGACACGCAATAATATTATTGTCCCATATTCTTGACAAGAAATATACAGGTCCTGTAATTAAAAATAATATCAAATTTAACAACACAGTACACTACACCTTTTCGTTTCTTTAAGGAGTTGATGCATGTCATCGATCCCAATTGCGTGGATTGATGCTCATGGTATTAATAATCGCGACCACGGTGATCAGCTATTAATGTTTTCTGAGATGGGGGAAAACATCGTGTCATTGGAAAACTTGAGTTCATTAAGAATGTTAGTATATTTTGGGAGCCATGCTTTACCGCGCGCCATAACCGAGTTAGCGCTGTATTGAAGCGCGCAATAACGAGGGAACACTGAACGTAACAACTTGTAATGTATGTGAAAAGTCGTACTAAAATACGCTATTTGAAGGGGGCGTGGCCTAAATGCAAATGTCCGATTGGGATTTTAAATTTTCTGGACCCCTGCATTATTCACTGGATTATCTTGTGCAGACTTGATTATTTACAGACCGCCATCATATAGCTGGAATATTGCTGAGTGCGGCGTCAAACAACAAACCAACAACTTTACTTTTTTGTGAAATGTGACAGGCATGTGTTAATGTATTGTAGTGTATACACAGGAAGAAAATAAGTGTGGCTTGAAGTACCACTAAAACTATTTATTGCATTCTTGAGTCATTGAGCATGTGTTTGGTTCAGGGAAACTATTTATGATTTTATTTTATTTTTAGAAGCATGATTTTCAGGTTCTACAGTATTTAAAAAAATAATCTTTGTGTACATTGTCAAGTTAAGTTATCCCTTACGTTTTTTACAAGCCCTGGATCCACCTCAGTCATCTTCCCGAGGCAAGAGAGTTAACTGACTTTAAAAGTCCAGTTTCCACCCTTGCCAAACTATGCTGGAATTACTGGGCTTGATCGTAGCGCCACCAGTGGTTATTACGAGCTATGTCCCTTCTAGGCCTCTCCTATGGACCAATCAGATTCAACCTCTCGTATCACTTGCATTTTCTTCAAACAAAACGGCGGCGCCCAGTCAAGACGATCTGATTGATAATCAAGATCTCTATATTGTGATAAAACAAGTCTTACATCGCGAAGTGCATCAAATCACATGAGCCCATCGATTAAAAACATGAAAAAATTCAGAAAATATCTGTTGACAACTAGTTAGCAGTGCACATGCTTTGCAAATCCTCCAATCAACCGAAATCTGCATGACAGTTTATGAACCGGATTTCGATTTCTGAGCGAGATTTTGATTGGACTATGCATAGACTCGTTAGTCCAGCCAAAATGTAACTCCATAATACCAGCCTAGTTCGGCAAGGCTGGAAACTGGACTTTTATAGTCAGTTAACTCTCTTGCCCGGGGAAGATGACCTCAGTGTGCTTTATGTGTTTGTGAGGATTGTGTGTTATGGTAGATGGGGGGGATGAGTGGTGTTCTTGTATTCTGCACACAGAGGAAGGCTGGGTCACGCCCTGTGACCTGTGCTGTTTCCCCACCCCTTGTGCTAGAACCTCCGCCGGACGCCTTCACGTCTTGTCACAACCGTTATTACTTTCACAATGGCGTAGGAACAACCTGAAGAATGATGGGGCAAGCAGTTGAATCCTTGACCTGATCGAGGGGGCTGCATTTCATAAATAACCAACGAGGCTCTATTTAATACCCATTCCAATTCTCAACACAATAATTGGAAGATACAAAGCTGAACTTGTAATACATTTCTGTGAGGCGGCTTACTTGCCTCCAGCGAGATCTTGCACTACAGGGCCCACTTGCACAAAGCGATCTTAGCGCTAAGATGATCTTAGCTCCCATACTTTAAAATAGGCTTACGATAGTCTTAGCGCTAAGATTACTGAGTGTGGCATTTAACATCAATCAAACAAACAAACAATGCATAGAAAACTACTTCGTCATGCATAGAAAGGTGTAGTGTTTCTTCCAGACCCTTAGCCTAAAGAATAGAAAAAGGAATCCAACTCAAGTGTAGAATGATTGGGCAAGTCTAGATTGCCTCAGCAATTGTTCTGGTCTTTATTTGGATTTTATTTGTTTAATTTTGTAGACATATATTTTCAAATAAGGTAACTTTATTTCTGGGACTAACTGTTTGTGCAGCTGTAGTGTTGGGATTGAAACTGATAGTTTTAGGATATAAATTTCAAAATAGAGAACTATGCCATGAATATTTTTGTGTTACCATGACTACCTGTGTGTGTTACCATGACTATCTGTGTGTGTCAGATGCGAATGTGTCGACCACGACGGCGGTGTTTGGAGAGGCCAAGGCTACTGGTGCAGAATACAGCTCTGACTCTGTGAGTACCGCAACAAGCAGCGGGTTTTTCTGTTTTCTTTGATTGCAAGGTTTTAAGCAGTGGAAAATACAACTGGGACTGGAAGCTTCAGATACTGTCAGTCTTTGTGACTGGCATTAATCCTGTTGAAATGTTGTTAAAATAAGTATGAGATCAGCTGAAGCTGAGCCTGTACTTAACAACACTCCACGTACAAGATAAAAATATACTGAAATTTCACAATGTTTCTTACCATGTCCGCACCCAATGTGTTCTGTACTTCCTGGATTTATTGACTGCCTCCGTGGTCTAGTGGTAGAGCGTCCGCCCGGAGAGCGGAAGGTCCGGGCTTCGATCCCCGCCCGCATCATACCAAAAGACGTTAAAAGATGGTACTTGTTGTTACCCTGCCTGGCACTCGGCATTAAGGGTTTAAAGCAAGGACTGGTCGGCTCAGAGTCAGTATACTGTGTCTGAGTGGGGTATTCATGTTAAACTGCGGCATGGTATCTCAGTGAGCTAGCACTATAAATCGGCATTAGTCCGGTCTAGTACAAGCAGCCACACACACACACACACACACACACACACACACACACACACACACACACACACACACACGCACACACACACACACACACACACACACACACACGTACATGCACGTCGCTATATAAGTGCAATAATCTTGGATGCGACGTTAAACCCCATTTCACCTCACCTCCATTTAGCTGGGGATAATAGTCAGGACTACAGGACTCGCAATGTAAATTGTTTGTGTCTCAACACACACACACGCACACACGCACGCACGCACGCACGCACACGTGCATGCACATCGCTATATAAGTGCAATAATCTTGGACACAGCGTTAAACCCCATTTCACTTCACCTCACCACCTCCTGTATTTATTGATGACGGTACACCGCATGTGTATTTCGGGTTTCAAGAGGTCCCCAGCAACCTGTGCAGGTCGTGAGAGGCAACTAAGTGGATCTGTTGGTCAGGCTCAGTGATTTGGTTGATTGTGTGTCATCGCACCTCGATTGATTACAATATCGTCACTGAATTAGCTACCCAGACTCAATTATTTACAGGCCGTTGTTATGTAATAATGCTGAGTTCGGTGGTAAACAGCAAACAAAACCAAAAACATTATGTTCAAGCACATTTGGGGCGGATGGGTAGCTTAGTGGTAAAAGCGTTCGCTCGTCACGGCGAAGACATGGGTTCGATTCCCGACATTGGTACAATGTGTGAAGCCTATTTCTGGTGTCCCCTGGTATTGCTGGAATATTGCTAGGGCAGCGTAAAACAATACTCACTGAAGCACATTCAGTTTGATCAGAACGCAAAGAGAAGTTAACAAATAACTATTATTCCTTTTATAACATCTTTTTACACTGTCTGATGCACGGCAGTTGTGCAGTATTCAAACAAAACCATGTGAGCAGACATTCATGTTGACATGCTTTCCCTCTGCTGCAGACTGACAAGAAGAGGCTGGAGCGCGTCCAGGGCGAGATGATGGAGGTTCAGGTACGACCCACATCAGCATCTTGTGTCCATTACAAGGATTAGCAGAATGGAAGATAAATCAAAATAATTTATGTATTTCTTAGGGTCAAATTAGCAGATTATGATTTTCTGATGATACCATGATAATATTATGATATACCATAACAGACTACCATATACTGATATTAACATAACAGACTACGATATACTGATGTTACCATAACAGACTACAATATACTGATGTTACCATAACAGACTACGATATACTGAGTGATGTTACCATAACAGACTACGATATACTGAGTGATGTTACCATAACAGACTACGATATACTGAGTGATGTTACCATAACAGACTACGATATACTGATATTACCATAACCGACTATGATTTACTGATATCATCATAACAGACTATGATATACTGATATTACCATAACAGACGACAATTTACTGATACATGTATTACCATAACAGACTACAATATACTGATATCATCATAACAGACTACGATATACTGATATTACCAAACAGACTATGATATACTGATATTACCATAACAGACTAT